CACAAACCATAGAGCACCAACCTACCTCCGCCCCCAACGATCCCGACTTCTACGCCGCCCACCCACACCTCGCACCACCCTCCTTCTCCACAAACAGCACATCGTCCTCGTCAACCTCGCAAAACTCATCTGCCCCCGATGCCCCCGAGGAATTCGACCCTACCCTTCCACGCTCCATGTCCTGCCGCGCAGCCTTCGACAGCGCCTTCTACTGCTCCTCGTTGGGCGGCCACTTCAACGACATATATCGGTACGGACAACTGCGCAGTTGCTCCGACCACTGGAACGATTTCTGGTTCTGCATGCGCACCAAGAATAGTTATAGCGGCCAGGACGTCAAGGAGAGGATGATTCAGGATCGGTATCGCGAGAAGGAGGAGAGGGTAAAGAGTGGCCCGAATAGTGAGGATGTTTGGAGGAAGAGAGGACCTGGAGAGGAGGTCAAGGGGGCATTTAGTAGGAATATGGAGGAGCTAGGTGCATGATAAGTCATGGCATATGCCAGAGTAGACCCTGATGGTAGACAATGGGTTCACACACGCAGAACACTGATACGCAAGCGCTTGGTATACGTCAAGAAGGGAGTTTTGCCAGGTCGTATACCCACTCAAGGGATAAGAATCCCCAGAGGGTACCGAATTCTTTCGGTGACGACAAGGGGAAAACCTCCATGGTATCTGTCGACGAGGTCACATTTGAGGCGCAGGGAGGTTAGAGTTGTTGCGCAAGTCGCAACATGTACAATAGTCATGATACCCTCAGATAGCATAACATCAAGCATCTACACACATTGTTGTCACTCCACCCTGAAGGTATACGCTGACTTCTGTAGCGCCTATCTCAAACGCCAAATACCGTGTATACTTCAGGGTTCAATTTCAAACCAAGCCACATCCTGTGGAGGTCCAGATCTGAGTGGGTGTCAGCACATAAATAGACAATCTTATGAAACTGAGCAACCCTGAGTGTCCCAAATGGGCTTTGCTCTTGATATGTCGACCGAAAGCTCTAGATGTTTCAAAGTGTTTTCCAGGACAAGTTGGACAGCTAAACCATCCGTCGTGATCTGCGCCACCTATCTGAACAATAGCTGCATGAGTATCCCCGGACAAGTGTTTTTGTTGCTCGGTTGCATTGCGAGAGTTGACTTTGCACGTGTCGCAGTAGTGCTTGAAAGCTGCTTTGTCTGCCTGCTTACGGAGTAAGGTCTTGGGCGTCTGTTTCGCATTGTGGATGCGTATGCGAGCTTTGAATTCCGGGGATGCGTTCTTCCTGAGCTGGCGTTGATAGCGATAATCATATTGTCGATCTCGCTCACGCTGCTGCCTTTTAACCTCAGCCTTAGTTGCACTACTAGATGTGTCTTGACTATGTATACCCTCTTGCATTGGACTGTGGCTGCATAGCCCCAGATCTGCTAAACTCCACCCTAAAGGTATACGATGACTTCTGTGTCACCTATTCCAAACACAAGAACACTCTGTATACCTTCAGGGTTTAGTTTCAGATTAAGATATGAGATCTGCTAAGATTCACCCTAAAGGTATACGTAGACTCCTATATTAGCTACCTTTAACATAAAAACACCCCGTATACCTTTAGAGCTTGGTTTCAGGTTAAGATATAAGATCTGCTAAACTCTATCCTGAAGGTATACACTGACTTCTGTATCACTTATTCTAAACACAAAAACACACTGTATACCTTTAGGATTTGGTTTCAAGTCAAGACATATTGTGAACACCTTCCAAGTTGCACCTTTCTATCCGTCGTTTCAAACATCACAAAGCAAGTCAAGACCAAGTATTTGAAGTATTCTCTCAATTCTCTACACAGGATATAGAACTATCCCACTATTAGAGTACATGCTGACACCACCTAACTTTTCCTCCCAATCGTTGATCGTTATTCATCCGATGCATAAGAAGAAACCATGAAACTGGCTCAATTAATTGGCCGTGAAACTCCGTGAACTACCACCCATGGAAAAGAAGTCTATGCTTGAAGATGCACAAGGAAAGGAAGACAAGAGACTGCAGTGAAGCGATCCGCTTAGTCGACCTCCTCGACGGTTGGGCCGTCATCACCGCCGGCACCACCTGGGGCGCCACCGGGCATGCCGCCACCGGGCATACCGCCGGGCATGCCACCCTCACCACCAGCTCCGTAGAACTTCATCATGATGGGGTTGGCAACACCCTCAAGCTCCTTCTGCTGAGACTCGTACTCGTCCTTGGTGGCGGTCTGGTTGTCGTCCAACCACTGGACGGTCTTGTCAATCTCGGCAGTGAGCTTCTGCTTGTCGCCAGCATCAAGCTTCTCGTCGACCTTGGAGTCGGAGAGAGTGTTGCGGAGCGAGTAAGCGTAGGACTCGAGAGCGTTCTTAGCAGAGATACGGGCAGCCTCTGCCTCGTCCTCAGCCTTGTACTTCTCGGCCTCAGCCAACATGCGCTCGATCTCCTCCTTGGAGAGACGGCCCTTGTCGTTGGTGATGACAATCTTGTTGGTCTTTCCGGTACCCTTCTCGAGGGCGGAGACGTTGATGATACCGTTGGCGTCAACATCGAAGGTGACCTCGATCTGGGGAACACCACGAGGAGCAGGTGGGATACCGGTAAGCTCGAACTTTCCGAGCAGGTTGTTGTCCTTGGTGCGAGCACGCTCACCCTCGTAGACCTGGATAAGCACACCGGGCTGGTTGTCGCTGAAGGTGGAGAAGACCTCGGACTTCTTGGTGGGGATGGTGGTGTTGCGCTTGATGAGAGCAGTCATGACACCACCAGCGGTCTCGATACCGATGGAAAGCGGCGCGACGTCGAGAAGCAGGATCTCGGAGGTGGACTTGGAGGATGTGTCACCAGACAGGATAGCAGCCTGGACGGCGGCACCGTAGGCGACAGCCTCATCGGGGTTGATGGACTTGTTGGGCTCCTTGCCGTTGAAGAAGTCGGAGACCATCTTCTGGACCTTGGGGATACGGGTGGATCCACCGACCAAGACAATCTCGTGGACGGAGGACTTGTCGATCTTAGCATCGCGGAGGACACGCTCGACGGGCTCCATGGTGGAGCGGAAGAGGTCCTGGCAGAGCTCTTCGAAACGAGCACGGGTGATGCTGGTGTAGAAGTCGATACCCTCGTACAGGGAGTCGATCTCGATGGAGGTCTGAGCGGAAGAGGACAGAGTGCGCTTGGCCCTCTCGCAAGCGGTTCGGAGACGACGGAGAGCACGAGCGTTGGAGGTCAAGTCCTTCTTGTGCTTGCGCTTGAACTCGTTGGTGAAGTGGTTGACGAGACGGTTGTCGAAGTCCTCACCACCCAAGTGAGTGTCACCGGCAGTGGACTTGACCTCGAAGATACCCTCCTCGATAGTCAAGAGGGAGACATCGAAGGTACCACCACCCAAGTCGAAGATGAGGACGTTGCGCTCACCCTCGGTCTTCTTGTCAAGACCGTAGGCGATGGCAGCGGCAGTAGGCTCGTTAATGATACGGAGGACGTTGAGGCCGGCAATGAGACCAGCATCCTTGGTGGCCTGACGTTGCGAGTCGTTGAAGTATGCGGGAACAGTGACGACAGCGTTGTTAACGGTGCCACCGAGGTAGGACTCGGCAGTTTCCCTCATCTTGGTCAAGACCATAGATGAGATCTCCTCGGGTGTGAATGTCTTCTCCTCGCCCTTGAACTCGACCTGGATAACTGGCTTGCCACCCTTGTCGATGACCTTGAAGGGGAAGTGCTTCATGTCGGCCTGGACCTCAGCGTCGGCGAACTTGCGACCGATGAGGCGCTTTGCGTCGAAGACGGTGTTGACGGGGTTCATGGCGACTTGGTTCTTTGCGGAGTCACCAATGAGACGCTCGGTGTCAGTGAAGGCAACGAACCTGGATAAGTTAGTGCATGGTCTTTGTTGCAGATGGGCAGTTGTGTGACTTACGAAGGTGTTGTCCGGTTACCCTGGTCGTTGGCGATAATCTCAATGCGGTCATCACGGAAGATACCTACGCAAGAGTAGGTAGTTCCAAGATCGATACCAATCGCGGGTGCCATGATGTCGATGTGTATTTGTGGTGGGGTATCAAAGGTAAAGAAAAGTTCGTAAAATGCTCACAAGTCGGTGACTTATAAAGGTGAGGCTTTCGCGGTGTAGTGTGGTTTGATGTGTGTAGTGGAAGAAGAAACAGTCCCAAGGCGCGGGCAGACGAAGTTTTTGTATCGCTGGATGCGTGGTGTTTCTACAGAATTCCAGCGCCTTCGACGTGCCAAGCAACCAACCAGAACCTTCCCGCAAGCTCGCGCAAGCTCTGCGACCCACTAGAAACAGCTGCCTTGCACGCTTTCCGGGGGCAAATACCTAGTTTCTTGTCACCAGGGATCCACAGTGCGCCGATTGTACCGCCTGCGTGTTGGTACCAACGCCTTTTTGCTTGAATGTTCTTGCCTCTTCTTTCGCCGCCGCAAAGGGCGCTGGCCGATGGGAGCCTATGACGGAACCCTCCCCCCACCAACATCTGAAAACGGTGACATAAGCGAATGCCCCGCCATGAGCGGGTCCATATGTCATGCCGCCCATGGCAACGACGGGTAGTTTCAAGTAGCTTCCAGATGTCCAGGATTTTTTTAATCATTGCGATCGGCGGACAGAGCCCAACGGTTGAGTCGTCGCAACACCTTCGTCATTACCGTCTTGCGTTTGCTCTGCTCGAGGTGTCCATAGTATACTCTGAAGGTATACACTACTTGTTGTTCTGTGATGTGTTCATGTCAAACATACCGAATACCCCCAGGGCACAATTTGGGTGCAACTTGGAGGTTGAGTTCTTTTGGACTGTGCCTAGAGGTAAAACCTAGCCAGAAGCATACATCGCTTCCTATAATCCCAACAAACACCGCCAAACCCAGTGAATACCATCTGGGTAGGGTATCCCTAAACTTGCTCGAAGAATCTAGGCCTATGTAGTAGCCACCACTATCCATCTCCGGAATGACAACGTAAATGCCTTAGACATTTTGAGGTATGTGTTGGGGTAAACTCTTCAAGAAGGCGAGGGTCGGCGGAGATGGTGAGCGTAGCTGAGTCCATATTCCAGGTACAAAGCGAACGCGAGAAAGGAAGTATATGGCGGCAAGGACATCCATGGTGGCAAAGGTGATCCTGAAATGAGGATTGACCCAGGCATCGTGAACGAGAGAAGACCAGATACAGGACAGGATAAAAGTCGCGACGCTTGTATAGGCCAGCTCCATAAAGGCTTTTGTCAGGGTGTACTCTTGATGGTGGTGGACTGAGGACGCAAATCAGATCCAGGTGGATGGAAGTATGTCCGGTTTTTATCCCATACAACCTCCCTCAAACATCTTGGCCGGGAAGTAGGCATTCGTGGTGGTCGAGGAAGTGGTATCCATGGTGGAGGTGGTTGTTGATGAAGGCACGATCATAGGAAAGGAAAATAAAAGGAAGAATGTTGGCTACACCCACCCTTTTTGTGTTTGCGCCTTCCATATGCCGTGAAAGGCTTGTCCAGATGTGCTCGATGGTGAACTGAGAGATGCAGATGCAGATGCAGATGGATGGGGCGGATTCCCAAGTTTCTACCTCAGACCATCTGACCTCAGACCATCTTGGCGGCGAAAGTGAGTGCTCCAGAGCGGAAGGTACTCTAGATATTCGTGGTTGGCTTATTGGATGGAGCTCGGGATGAACATGGTGAGTTTCGTTCTCCGAAGATACATAGAAGGTGGTGATGTGCGGGCTGAGTGTGCCTGATTCCGGATGTAGGGCAGCAGAATACAGACTAATAATGGACAGTGAGTTCTACCTCAGGCTTCTGAGGTCAGAAGATCTTGGCGGGCGTGAGTATTCTAGAGAGGAAGTTGCGGTAGATGCCCAAGGCGGCATTGTATCTGGAAAGGGAACGACTAGAACACAAGGAAGAAAGGCATCTTGCAAAGGCAACATGACATAGTTTCAGGTTGCATCAAGTTGTACTTGACTTATCGAGAAGCATCCCAGATTATTCATCATCCACAACAGAGTCCCATACATTGATTATATTCGTATCCTGATGTACTATAATACAGACATGGTAGAGCCAACTGAGCTAATCCTGGTATGCTTCAAAGAAGCGTCGTACATAGACAACTCCCCCTGGAATGTCTATGTGAGCAGAAAGAGATAACAACGCAAGTCGATAAGAGGAGTGCGCCATACATGCACCGCACCAAAACGCCAATAATGGGTATATGAACCGTAATCGCGAAACCTAAGACAGATTGTGGAAGCGAACAAGGACGTCAGAGTATACGGCGGGCCTTCTAAGCACGTCCCCTGCCGCGTCCCCTTCCGCTACCACTCGCTGTCCGTGTCATCGCAACACCGCCACCGTGGCCACCAACAGCCAGCGAATCTCTGTCGCCGTAACGTCCCAGTGGTGTGTTTCCACCAGCGTCTGACCACCCCGCCATGCTGCTCTGCGCGCTCATCGGAACACCACCTAAGCTTGCGCCCACCTCTAAATGAGGTGCTGTGCTCCTAAGAGCGCTCGTCATCTCGTGGACTGGCTCCGAGAAGTTAGGTGGCTGGACTTGGTAATCACGCGCTTTGACAGGATTGCATGCGGCTTGCAGGAGCTTTTCGTTGATATCGTCGTCCGGCGGTGCTTCCCTAAGCATTAGCTTCAGATCTTGCTCGATGTCGTGTGCGCCAAGAGGAGGTGGTGGCGGTGCTGAGGCGTTGATCTTTTGGAAAATCTTGGCATCCAGAACGAATGGCGGGTTGTAGATGAATGGAGGTATTTGTCCGCTGACTATGGCTGCCGTGGGGTTCAGTGCTGAGCGTGTAGCGCCGCGGGTAGCGTGAGGGTTCGACGAGTGTTGACGCATCATATCCGTCGCGCCGGGCACGTCGTCGGAATCTTGATCCTGATCCATGGCGTCTCCGTTTTCGGAAGCGTGGTCGCCGTTTGTGCCATTGGTGTTGCCGTTTGTTGTGGCTTCCTGCGGTGCAGCCTCTGTGTTCTTCATCTTGGCGAAAAAGTGGGAGGCGGCCATGGTGGCTTGGTTCATAGCCATGTTGAGCTCCTTCTCGCTGAACAAGCGCTCGAGGGAGTATGCAGACGACTCGAACTGGGCATTGATGGTGCGCGCTTTGGCTTCGCGGAAGGGTGAGCCGATGCCCATCTCGGTAGGGCGACCAGAGGGACCTGGGGAATCGTTATCCTGGTCTTCGTACAGCTTGCGCTTTCGCTTGTGCTCGGTAGCAGCAGCCATATCCTCGGCGTCGCCAAATTTGTGTCCTGTTCTCCTAGTCTTCCGGGGGGCTTGTGGACCGCCAGGGCTTGCAGGATGCCCTATGCTGAACTGATTGGGATGGAGGAGCATCGCATTGCTGTCGGATAGGTCCAGTTGCTCCTTCTCTCGCTTCAGTCTGTTTGTCCGTTGTTGTATGCTTGCGACGAGTCGTTCGCGGATGGTGGCAGCGAGCAGCTTGTGCTCTTCTTCGGCGATTTGGACTTTGTAGTAGTGTGAGTTTTCGATCTCGTTCTTCGTGTTCTGGTTCTTGTTCTAATTGGCATGGGCGGTTAGCGTCTCATCTCAGTACAGCAGAAGCCGTGGGACTCACCCAGAGCATTGTCAGGTTGTAGTCGCGCTCTTCCATCGCATCATTGACGGCATCTACAAATCGCGAATAGTGTTTTCCACATTGCGCAATGTAATCGGTACCGGCGCTTGGTGCGGTAGGTACGTTGTTCCCCATGATTTGCGAGATGAGCTCTGTGGCCTCTTCGCCGCCGTCTTCGAGCGGCTGGTTCGCATATGGATCCGCCTTCATAATCAGGTTGATGTCGGCTTGTAGCGCGGCAAGCTGGGCTCTGTAATGGCTGTCCCTATTGTCGGAGAATGTGGCCATCATCTCCGCGAGCTTCTCGGCGAGCATGTTGCGTCGTTTGTCGCGCTTCGAAGGTTGAGGTTGGGGGGATGTCGCGGAATGACCTAGCGGAAAGTTGTCCGCCGGCGACGGACTGCCATTGCGGACCATGGCGATAGGTGAGGCCCTCGGGGGGTGCTGGAGGTGTCGACTGTTTGAGACAGGGTCGTCACAGGGCTGCGCGAGTGTTCGGGTCCGCTTGGTTCGCTGTAGAGAAGTCTAGAGTCACTACACAGTATGACGCTAGGAGCGCAAGAGATAATCATGCACGTTCAACGAAAGCAGTGCAAATCGAAACGATGCGGCAGGCGGGATGTGGTTTGCGAGAGTGAAGGGTCGGCTATCGAGCATTAGCATCACTTGCTGCATTACAAACAGGGTCTAGCGTGAAAGAAATGCGCTAGCACACCTCTGAACCGTTCGCCGACATGGAACCATCCAAGCTGAACACAACCCCATGTGACCAAGTTTGTATGATCATTCTACGCGTCAAAAGCCTGGTGCAGTAGCTTTCCCAAGTTGATGTAGATTAGGATTTTGCGAAACTATCTGGAAAGACTGATGTTAGGACAGCTTGCGTACCTCGCACACAAGAACAGCCAATTGCTACAACTAATCTAGTTGAACTACATATTGCGATACGCGAAGCTCGAAACAACCATGTGCCATCTTCTGACCTGATTAGCCCTTCCCTGACCGTCACTAGACGTTTCTTTTCCCAAACGATTGCATTCTCTCTGGTCCGTCACGTCCACCATAGACATTCTTGCTAGCCATTCGGCATCGCCACCTAGGCCTTGAAGCGTCGCTTGAAGTCATCGCACAACTCGAGCGTCAAGTTTGCCTCGCCCTTGGGGTAGGACGCGACGTTCTCCGGCCTGTGGTCACCGATCCAGACAATCTCCTGCACAGGCAAACCATCGGTGTTGTGGATGCGGACCTTCTCGTCCACAAAGGCGGGACCGACTGCACTGCTCAAGCTGTACCATAGCCCTCCTCCATAAGAGTACTGCATATTCAAGATTGGTTTGCTGGTACCGAAGGCATCTTCTGAATTGACTACCTGGATGTTGACGCCCGTGCCGTCTTCTGCGAATTTCTGTTTTTCCGACCACGTGTCGCCCGGCTGGATTTTCTGCAGCTCGCTTCTTGTGGTCTGAACAGACGATACCCACACAGGGTAGTGACACTTGTTGTTGACAATAGAGTAGGCTGCGAAAGCCGTGTTGGCTGTCAAGGCGAGACTCCCGATGAGGGTTGGGATACGCATCTTAGTGGTAGAGATCTTGCGATCAGGTTGGAATTTAGTGAAAGAAGTTGGTATGTCGGCTGACTCTGATGAAGCTTACTTGAACTGTAGGAGCCTGGTTCAGTTCATGCCGCGCTCTTGACCTACTCTTATATCTGGCGAAGACGCCCCGGTAATCCGCTTGTGCTTCTTACCAGTTGTGTGCTCGAAACTTGAGCCAAAGCTAGGAGTCTTTGGTGTCTGTACAATGTTACTATCCAAAGTCATGCGTCCGTGTTCGATCCAGGCCATGACGGCAAGCCATAAACCTACGACTATCCGAAAGATTCCACATTGGATGTGAGGAATGACGCGCTCGTCAAGATCGGGGGGCACAAAAGCGGCAAGGCAAGGTAGGACATCACTCATTTGGCGTGGTACTACAGACAGCATACTCAAACAATCTTAGTCCTATGATGGCGCTGCAGGTACAATCGTGCACATATCCGTGCTTACAGGGCGGCGTTTTCTGAGGACGAATGGAAAAATTGACGGATGGTACAGAAATGACAAGATGTCTTTGAAGCAGTAATCGCCGACATGAAAATGTGACTAACGGAAGCAGACCGGTGAGCAGAAGGGAATTGCGCGTCGATACTGTTGTGGTGAGAAAATATCACAAAACGTGAGACGGGTGCCCTACGACAGTCCTGTCAACTGTCATGTGCGGGTGATTGTGCTCAATCAACGACTTTCTTGTACTGTTACCACGAGCTCAGCTTCTTCGGAATGGCAGACGGGTCCTGTATCACAACTGAGCCTCAATATGCGCAACGTGCAGAGAGGCCCAAACTGCATGGCCGTCGTGATGACGCGTGATAATGATTGACAGCAGACATGTGACACGTTCGATGAGGCGAGGAATGTGTTTGCGTTGGACAATGCACGAGAACAGAGTCAACGAGGAGAACTTCGTCGCATGTAAGGAGACGTGAGATGCGCTCTGAAAATTCAGAGCCAGCGTGACATGAAAATGGCTTGGAAGTAACTCTTGATGTCGTTCTAACATCGAATGAAAGCGGAAGGAGATGGGCTAAAGGGAACAACTAAGCCGGGCGGTGCCGTGTGCTGCCGAACCTCGGCATACGAGTTGGATCCTGGATCCTCCACATTCCGCCCGCATTTGGCTTGCCCGCGGAAGTGCTGCCGCCATGTAGTTCTCACGCTTCGACTTGTTAGAGTCCCTTTCTCCCGAGGGCCGTGTTCACCGTGTTCTGAGTATACTTTGAACATTGTCAGTAGCATCATCCAGCCATGTCTTCCTCCGCTCTCCGCACATCCATGAGAATGGCCTCACGGCCGCAACAACGGCTGGCTAGCATCCAAAGACAGTTCAGCAGCTCTGCGCCGCAAAGGAAAGAGATACGGGATGCATACATTATAAGCGCGAGCCGAACACCCACCGCAGTGGTCAGTAATATGGTATTCCAAGCTACCTCAGCTACTCACTAAGTCATAGTTCAATGGCAACTTCACAACAGTATCCGCGACCCAACTCGGCGCCACAGCCATCAAGTCCGCCCTTGAAAAGTCAAAAGTCCCAATCTCCTCCATAGATGCCGTCTACATGGGCAACGTCCTCTCCGGAGGCGTCGGACAGGCACCAGCGCGGCAAGCAGCCATCTTCGCTGGGCTGCCCACCAACATCGAAGCCACTACGATCAACAAAGTATGCGCATCGGGTCTGAAAGCAGTAAACATTGCCGCCTCGACTATCGAGCTCGGGCAAGCGGAAGCACAGGTCGCTGGAGGAATGGAGAACATGACACGAGTTCCGTACTATATGAACAGGGCCAGCCAGCAACCAGCATTCGGCCACCAGAAGCTGCAGGACGGCTTGATCGCTGACGGACTGTGGGATGTCTACAACCAGATCCACATGGGCAACTGTGCAGAGAACACGGCAAAGAAGTACGAGGTTTCAAGACAGGACCAGGACGACTACGCTATCGAGACATATAAGCGCGCACAGCAAGCATACAAGGACGGACTTTTCAAAGATGAAATTGTGCCAGTCACTGTCAAATCGAGGAAGGGCGAGACTGTCATCTCCGAGGATGAGCAGTACAACAAGCTGAAGCTGGACAAGGTCTCCACGCTGAAACCAGCTTTCGAAAAGGGGCCAGATGGCACAGTCACAGCGGCGAACAGCTCGCCCCTCAGTGATGGCGCTTCAGCATTGATACTCGGAAGCAAGGAAATCGCACAGCAATACGGCAAGGACAGCCGTGTACTGGCAAAGGTCGTCACCTACGCCGATGCTGCCGTTGGTATGTACTCACGGACTCTTGTGCTCATCCACTCTCACTGACTCTACCCAGACCCCATTGACTTTCCCGTCGCCCCCGCTTCCTGCGTTGAGAAACTCCTGAAGCAATCCGGTCTCTCAAAGAACGACATCGCTATTTGGGAGTTCAACGAGGCCTTCGCTGCCGTTATCAAGGCCAATGCCAAGATCCTTGGTCTCGGCACGGACAATGTAAACCCAAGAGGTGGTGCTATTGCTCTGGGTCACGCCCTGGGTAGCTCCGGAAGCAGGATCCTGGTTACACTGCTACATCAACTGGAGGTTGGACAGTATGGTGCAGCTGTCATCTGCAACGGAGGTGGCGCGTCATCAGGTATCATCGTTCAAAGAGTCAGCGCGGATCAACTGTAGGTCAGGGTAAGAAAGATGGTATGTATACCGAATCACAAAAAAGTTAGTGAATGATACCAAAGGGATGCGTGTTCACAAACTTGTGGTGTCACGATCCAGGCATCCCACGTGGCCTTCGAACCAAAGTGTATCGTACAGCCCTAACCAAACAGCAATGGCTCACAGTCAACAACACAGCAGATAGACAGGCAAAAAAGACGACATTGGCCAGATTCGAACTGACGCTCCCTAAGGAACAAGATTTCAAGTCTTGCGCGATAACCACTCCGCCACAATGCCTAGGATGTTGATATATTCGCCACTCGAACAACACGTATTATGTAGTCAAAACTGGCCCTATGTGAGCAAGGCTTGCAAATCACACCGCATTTTACGAACAACAAAGATCTGAAGCAACGTGTTTCCTTCGTGGTGTGGAGCACAAAGGTGGAGTATGCGGTGTGTTTACGGCTACGTACAGGACAGTGATGGGTAGGTGCGTGGTTGTGGAACGACAAACAAGAAGTTACGCGAGTAGAAGCAGATGACAGCATAGGACGCGGGGTGATACGCTGTAAGACATAATACGTGAGATAACGACTACTCGATTTATCTTACCAAAGTAAGGGTCGAACGACTGGAAGACGACAAGCGGTTATGCGTGAGCAACATGGGCATTTTCAGGCTGAGAAGTCATGCAATGGAATTAAATAGTATGAAAGAATGGTGAACATCTTTGCTACAATACTTTACTTTGATACGGTGTACCTTGAACCTAATCGTGGAGGCCTTGCTAGCATGCAAGGTCTTATTTTGTGACAACAAGGTACGGCGAGGGCCTTTAACATACCGTATTACAGTACGACATCAAGCAATTTCGCTCTACTCCAAATACAACTGTAAAAGCCTTCGTCGCACGTAAGGCTTCAGATGCTTAGTAAAAGGCGCAATAAGTATTTTTGAAGTGCACTTTCACTATGGTATATTGAATGGTCGGGCAACAATATCAAGTCTAGGTGTGAAGCCATTAATGACATGTTGATTCATAGAGCATGGACCCGAGAAGCGGAGAAACCTTTTACCCCAGATGTACGCCTACTACGTTAACGCTGGGTATAAGCGAACGGCGTTCTAAACAAGAAACAAAAAGCACTGTTACAAGCGAAGATCGAAAGACCCCCCTCTGCCTCATGCTTGATTCAGATTCATATCCAAATCCATGTCCAAATCCATAGCAAAGTCCATATCATCCCAAGGCATCGACGCAGCACCCTCCACCGCCGACATGCTGACCCCGGTAGTAGCAATTGAAATGGCAGAGTTATAGTCTGCACTACTCGTCGGGTTTTGCAAGTCCTCGGGCAACTGATCCCAGGACGGGAATTGGAAATCGTCGACGGTAGATTCACCAGCAGTCGGGCAGTCAAGGATAGGATTTGCGGCTGCGCTGGTTGTGAACGGCGCCATATGCGCGTTCGTTTCGTCAAGCCAGTACCTCCTCTTCGGCGATCCGGCAGTTTTCGTAGTGAACCCAATCTCGCCATGTTCGCCGAAGCAGGGACCTGCGCTACCTGCTGCTGTGCATGCGAGTTCTGAGATGGGCTCGTATACACCCAGGAGGTTGTCTGTACTGGCGGCCGTTGTAATGGGGGCGTACGAGGCTGGTGAGGTGGGCGATCCACTTAGCCCCGGTATACTGTAGGGTGTTTCGCGACCTGAGGAGAGATTTCGTGCATGTCCTTGAATGAAGTTGGTAGAGCCAGACAGCGCGAATTCGTAGGAGATGGCGCGCATCGGGTCGTCCTGGGCCATGGAGGTGCAGCGGAAAACATTATTCGCATCGAAGCTTGGGTCCACAGCAGAGCCGTAGTTGATACCGAGATCTTCAAAAATCTCGTGATTTCCATTAATATCTGGTTTGATGTTAGACATAGCGTGACAGGCGTATATAATCTCAAACACTCACTCTGTACTGGGGCTTGGGCGTCGATCCCGTGGGCCTTTTTAAACAGGTTCAACCACTCAGAGTTGTCGGCAGAGGTCTGGTTCCATGGATCGTCATCATCATACAGGATACGACGTGATTCCTTTTGTAGCATCTCGTCGGTCAAGGTTCCTGCTCCATGCTTGTCGATATACTCTCGTGCGAAGCGTCCCAGTTGCAATGTAAGGATCTCCCAGCAAGTTGCATTGGGGTTGTCGGTTGGCGACTCTGAAGAGGAGTAATCTTTAGGTGTTGTCAAGACGATAGGCCCGATTGTTGAAGGATCACTTCCGGTCTGGTATGCGGCGGATATATTGTTCGTCGCGGTGTTGATATCAAAGTTGGGCAGAAGATACTCAAGATCTCTGTTCTCCACCGATAGGTTGAGTTGCTGTTGGAAGATTAGCAAAGTAGACTTCAGCGAAGATCTGCGTGGAGTTTGACCTCACTGTGGGTCCGCATGTTCGCTACGGTAGTACGTACCTTGAGGCTGGTGGTGTTGCTGGCGGAGAAGGGAAACGGAGATTTGCTCTCGTTAGCAATAAGATACGGCGGCATAGCATTGGTCACATGGATGGCGACATGAGGGTCTAGGCCTCTGCATCCCTTCCAGTTCTTCATGCTTGCGCC